CAGTGAAGGGGTTGGTTTTCAGTTTGGTTGGTTTTTGTGTTTTTTGTTTGTTTACTGAAACCATTCATGTGACCTCCTTGGACAGAGACATGCCAAGATGGGCTCACATAGTCACACTCTGAAATCTCAGTGATTGGGAATCTATCAACTGCAGGACTGGAAGAGGCCTTCCTAATGCATACAAATAAGTAGATTAGGATCTTGCATCTCCATCTGCACCTCTTTTCAAGGCTTGAATGATTTTACAGGACATTTTTACCAAATTATTTGACCAGACAGCAGCTTTTGAAATATGGATTCACTGGTGACACATTTTGAAAAACATGTTTTACGGAAGGTCATTTTACAGAGGAGCTGAAAGGGCAGGAATTGCACCCCATTGCGTACGTCATGTCCAGAACAGCAGGAGCAGAGGAGCAGAAGCATCTTCTCTAAGGATACCAGGAGAGAAAACTTTTTGGCCTCATGTGATGGGGAACAGGTACACACACTGACAGAATATACGTGGACTTCCACATATACAGAACAGAACAGAGGATGGCTCAAGTTGTGGCATCATACACAGCTGAATACACGCTCATTACCTTATTATGGCCTAAGAGGGAGATCTTGCAAAAATTGACCCATACTAAATCGTGACACCTGACACTAACACAGTCCTGAGTGCCCGAGAACACTGTTCTGCACAGGACTGGAGTGGGAGGCAAAAAGCATTTAGCTGCTTGCGGACATGTAACCAATTGAATTCTGATATAACTCGAGACGCAGACAGACTTCACCTAAGAAAGTACCAACAAAGAACAGTTAGCCCCATGGAGTTTGAACTTCCCCTCCCATCCTGCAAACACAGCATTTGTAGCACACACCAAAACATGAGGGATGGGCAAAATAATGGTAGCAGCCAAATAGCAGATCAAAGGTCTGAGTGAGCAAATAGTTCATTAACAAGCTCGAAGCTATTACCTAACACTGCAATACAGACCCCACTGTGACTTCCAAAGCACCCCCAGTGCTAGAAAACATCACCACACCCAGTACCTTTTCTAGTCTGGCTTAGGTCTTCAGACTCCACAAGCCAGCCTGAGGCAGGGTGATCAGGTCAGACGAGCTGCAGATGAGAGGAGGGGATTCCTTCCCAGGTGAAGTTTAATAAAGGCTTATGAACATGACCAGAGCACAGCCAGTGCTGAGCTGAGTGCTCAGGTCTGGAGATAGCAGGAGACAACTGTGGTGAGTGGGGAAGCCTCTCTGAGTGTGTGCACTCAGCACATTTCCTACCCTCTAAACTCCTTCCTCCTCATTGCTCTCTACATTAAACACTGCTATCAGACATCCAGAAACTCATCTCCATTCCCTGCCACCCCCTCCCTTTTTTTTTTTTAAATCACAAAGCAGGCATCTGCTTTGCAGTTTCCAATTTAGAAGCAAGTGCCTGGCTGGTAGAGGGACATTCACGTGATGTTTTGAACATGGACAGAAAGGTAGTGAAGAGCCACAGTTTTTGGTCACAGCAATAGCTGGGATTTGGGGGATCAGGTCAGGGGAATAACAGTCCAACATCACGGCAAACAGCACTAAGGCAGAGGACGCTGAATGCCTGACAGGAGAAGAGTCAGGATAAAGTACGATGCACTAGGCAGTACATAGAGGACATGCCTTCCACAGTGTAGTTCTCTATGACTTGACTTCCGCATGCTCCATGATTCAGCTCCTACTACACTCACCTTCCTGCCCTGACGATCTTTCCAGGAGATCCAGCGCTCTCCATTGCGGCTATAGTCAATTCGGTAAGCACGGGCAAATTCTTTGCCTGTGGCACGGGCATGCCGTCCCTGAGTCCCAATCAAGGTGACAAAAAAGAGCTTGTGCAGGTCAATTTGAAGGAACTGTACATCTTCTGGTTGCAACAAGCCAGCCGGGCACCAAGCTCCATCCCCCTCTTCCCTTTGTAACCTGAAGGGAAAACCACACACATTAAAAAAATCATAGAATCATAGAATCATTAAAGGTTTAAAAAAATGTCACTTCCAAGGATCCAGCCTTCCCAGTAACTGAGGAAACACCTTCAAACTTTGAAAGTTGGGAGAAAGAAACCAAATCAGCAAGTGAGACTTGACAGCTGGCTACCAAATACCTCTCCCCATTGGGGTGATGGTCGATTGAGACTTATCAGAGTCCTGTAGCCAGTTTTGCCCTGTTCAGAACAACTCCCTCAGTTTCGGATATCTTTCATTAACTGTTAGAAGTAATTTCTTTCCCAGACACACACTTTCATGTTGATCGGAAACAACTATGCTACTCAGTAGGTAATTGCATACTGCATGCTTTTTAGCACCGTGCTGGTAAAGTGCATACTCACTTCTCCTAAACCATACAGTAAGGCCTGGACCTCTGCTTGACCACCTCCTACAGCTCTAACAAGCACAAAGAGGAGCTATGTTAAAAATACATTTTAGAAAGAAAAGCTTTGCCCATCTACAAATTATTCTGGGTCATCTCAACACATCTTTCACCCTTCCTTCATTCAGCAGGGTTGCTTGTGCAGGACACTGCTAGGTGTATGATGTGAAGGTCTCTGCTTCAAAGTTGAGCATTCTGGTACCAGCTGCAAAGATCAAGGCTTTAATCCTTGGAGATTGCATGCCGAGCAGAGTGCTGTAGCAATCAGCAGGTGGAGCCACTAAAGGAAACTGCCTTACCTAGGCTTCTGCAGGCTCAGCTGTCCAAGCCACAAGGTGGTGAGAGTTTTAAATGTGAAAGATTTATCCAGACACAAAAAGACTATGTGAGCTTTTTAGCAACAGGGATTTCTTAACAAACAGCAAGCCCCTGAAGTGCCCTTGTCTTTCAGACAGCTATTCCATCTCTAACTGATGGGATCAGTGAGTGCCAACCCCTGTGCATCAAGGAAGGCAGTACCCAGGAGACACTGAAGGTCAAGGCACAGGCTAGAGAAGATTTTTGTCTCAGGTTGATCAGCTGTTTGTGCAAGACTTTCTTACAGTGAAGTGGCAAGTAAAAGAAGTTATGAGGAAAGGCAGGAAGGGTGACTGTGAAATGACAGGGACAGACATCTGCATAGGACAACTACGACCCCTAACAAAATGAAGTCAGCTAGAGGGTGCCTTCATGTCTTCACCCTGTGGACATCGATGGTAACAGATGGTAAGTGGTGCCTGAAGTATTTGCAGAACTGGAAACAAGCCATACCCCGGAGAACAAAGTAAGTCTCCCAGCTTTCAGACCCACAGGCTTGTTCAAACTCCGTTAAAAACAAACGACACTTAGCATCTTTGCTCTACCACAGACTAAAAAAAAAAAAAAAAATCAAGCACTAGGAGACTTTTACGATTTTGGACTGCCCAAATTCATCATAAAAATATAAGTATCATAGTTAATCTGAAATTCATATCTGACTTGCACCAAAACTGTAGGAATGTTTGGTATCATCATTATAAACAATTCTAAGGAAACCTACATTTGTAAGTATTTTGCAAATCAGTTAGTAGCTTTAAGAGAAATGAAATGACAAAAAAAAAAGAAAAGCCAAGCTTCTGAGAAAGACTGTAGTACTGCTTGACATTGAAAAAAAATCCTTTAGCTGCTTTGTAACAATTCCTTAACTCTGCAGTTTCCAGGTTTTTGAGTAAAAGTGGACACAGCCCATTTCCTCAATACGATGCTGTTGAATAGTTCATCCTCGTAAATGATTTCCTGTGATTTAGTTCAAAGTGTCCTACAAGAATCTCAGGGGCACTGTCCCTAGCTAACTTGTAAGTCATAAATCCATTAGAGATTTATTCACAGAACTATAGGAAGACCAGGGTCGGAAGCAACCGCTGGAAGTCTCTAGCCCAATCTCCTGCTCACAGCAGGGCTAACTCCAAAACTACATCGTGTTGCTCAAGGACTTGTACAGCCACATCCTGAAATTCTCCAAACACTGAGACATCACCACATCTCTGGGTACCTGTCTGAGAGCTCCACCACTTCATTCTCATGGGGAAGGATTTTTTTTTTTTTCTTAGTATTGATTCAGAATTTCCTGTATTACAGCTTGTGACCATAACCACTGCCTCTTGCTCTTTCACTATGCACTAATTAGATTTAATATGTAAGCAGTGAACAAGCTAAGCAAACTTAAGGTTGCTTTAGGGGTGTGGGAACTTCTTCCTCAATCACATGCTAGATATCTAGAAGAAAAAAAGGATTGCTTTTTTTGCCAGAGATTAACCTACCGTGCATACTGGGGTCCTGTGGAATCATACCACTGGCTGGAAGCAGTGATGTCTTCATCCCGTATTGTCCCTTCATGCATACCCAAAGGGTAACGGCATATAGCTGAAAACAGGAACAAAAGCAAGTAAAAAAAAAAAAATCAATACCAATTCTTTCTAAATCACCAGGCAGGTTTAATTAAAAGGCTATCAATGCCTGGGGAATAAACATGGCAATGATAAAATAGAGAATACAAATAAAGAGGATGAAATAATTACCATAAACTGAAATAAGTAATGAAATACACTCTGAGTTAGTATCATCCAGCAGAGTCTGGGCAAGACAAAAAACTTTACAAAGAAACATTTTAAGAACATGAAAGCCAAAATCATACTAGTGTTAATGGTTGCAGGGACCTATTTTACAATGAAAAATTATTTATCAATAATGATGTGACACAAAAAGGAAGAATTTGTTAAATATTTTTCCTCTTCTTCTGGAATAAACTGGATGCTTGACTTGCATTCAGTTAAGAACAATTATTATTATTATTTTCACCAGTCCAGTAACAAGTGAGAAATTAAACAGCTTCTATTACAGATGACTAGACCAGCTTATGGAAACATCTGCTCTGTCGTGTCACCACAGGTTAGAGCTTACATTTGAGCCCAAGCCCCTGACCATCCACACTGCCCCATCCTGTTCCCTGCCTCGAGCCTCAAGTGGAGCAAGCATTTCTCTCCAAGCATGAGAAGACTCTCAAACTTGGTGCCTCCAGGGAGTACAGACACAACTGGCTCAAGCCATGGAGCTCTACAAGCTCAATGCACCAAAGACAGTGCTGATGTAGCTTACAGATCCAAGCTGGCCAAGCTCTGTCCCCTGACACAAGCCTTTAAACACATCTTGGAATATTAGACATGTTTCAGAAAACTCAAAGTCTTAATGTATCCATTAAGGCTCAGTATTCAAAACAGGCAAGCAAGATATTTTTGTCAGACTGACATCAACAGCAGATTAAAAAATAAGTTATGTGTGATTAAATCATGAAACAATTAAAAGACAAAAACATAGTCAATGGCAAGTCCCAGAAAAAAAGGAAATGGACTTTCCTATAGACTTTTGGTCTTTGTCCTCTGAGCTCACAGCAGCCCCAGCTCCTCCCCTGTCTGCAGTGACACAGGCAAGTGCCAGCACGTGCTCCAGTCACTCCAGAGTGGCATGCATGTCGGCTGGCATCCTCACTGCTACGCCGCCTGCTGCCGTATCAGCAGCTCTGCCTGCCTTTCCCTCAGCAAGTGCACTGCCTTGGGCGTCTTCCTCATTTCTGTATCTCAGGACTGCTACCCTTGTACCAAACCTGGATAAAGCTGTTCACCAGGTTCGGAAGCTACAAGAAAAGACAGAGGCATGAAACCCACCTTGTTGTTACCACCATAGAGAACAAACAACGGCAGGCCAAATAACTACCTGACAGATTTCAAGGTGGAGATGTTTGCAAACAGAGGTTGTTTCAATAGGGTTTGGCTGCAGCTGTTGTCAGGCACAGTATCAATGAGTGTGTGATGTTCTACATATTCCTAAATAATCTTGTAAAGGAGATGGGTGGTGAGGTGACAATGTTTGCTGATACCAGATTATTTAATATCGAAAAAAGCAAATTATGGGAATACATACAAAACAAACTAGAAAACACCATTACACCACTGTATGTATTCATGGTCAGATGCCAGTCAGATATGGAATAGAGCTCTTACTCCTTCATTCTCCCATCAAAAGGCAGAGAAGGCGACACAGATGATACAAAAGGAAAGATCAGCAGCCTCATCATTACAAAAGAGATTACTGAATGAAGTACAAAGATCATTTATACCCTGAAGAATTACTCACCGTCTCTCAAAATACCAGAACGAGGAGGCATCAAAAGATCAGGTAGCAGAGTTCAAAAACAACATATGCATCCTTAATCTGTTAAACACTCTGAATGCCAAAGGTTTACATGGGTTCCAAAATCAGCTAGACAAACTCACAGCTACCACAGGCAAATACACAAGCGCTAGCTCAGAAAGCTCCTAAGCAGCAGACTGCAGCGAGCCGAGAGCATACCTGGGGTAAAGCACTGCTGTGTGCTTGCCCATCTGCGCGCTCTTCCAGAACCAGTCAGGACACCAAGCTGGATGGGCCTCTGGTCTCACCCAGAACATTCATTCATACGTCTGAGGTTTCTTAACAGTAAACAGATTCTTCTGTTTACAGAAGAATTCACTGGGAGGCAGCTGGTGTCTGGCTGGGATCAGGCATGATGACTGTGGTTGCTGAAAGCCAACCGAGGGCTCTAACCCTGCTCTGATACTGAACAGTAAGTTTAATAAACCAAACTAGCCTCGCCTGTCTTCACTCTTACCTGTCCCACCACAGACAGTACAATCTGATCTATTGCTGGCAAGCTAGATGTTGCTGAACTATGGGTAAATATCTGAAGATTTTCTAGAAGGGTTGAGTCGTCATCTGAAAGCAGAAAGTGGTTTTGTGTTTCTGCAGCAGGAGTCCTGTCTGGTCACACCTTCTTTAAAAGGTCAAGTGCACACTCTACAGCAATGCCAGACTAGAGAGACTAGAGAGCTAGCTAGTTGGGAAGGACTCTCGGGGACCGATTGCAATCCTGAACAAAACTCATTCACTCACAAACCCAGGGCTGGCAGATGGAAGCCAGAGTTGCCCTGGCGTCAAGGGATGCACTTTGTAGGTGGCTGTGGCTCTCACCAAAACAAGCAGCATGAGGCTCTCACCAAAATGCACATCCTATCAAGCAAAGCCATCCTTGGGTTCCGATTAGGTGCCACCAGGACTCCTGCTCAGGTATTTTTTACTACGCACTCAGGGACACACTCACCTGCCATGCAGACAGGATACATGGAGGCTCAGAAAAATGTCACATCCCACCTCTGTTAGCGAGGCCAAACAACTGATGCTGGGCAAAAGGACTGCATAGGATCCTTCCTACACAGGTCTGAAACCATCCACAAAGCAGCCCCTTTGGTTTAGAAGGCAATGCAGGAGGTGCTCCAGACCACTCCTGGAGCAGATCAGGTCAAGATAATCAACAGAGCCTGTGGGTATCACAACCGAGGAGCATCAGCTGGGCTATGGGTGTGCTGGAGTCTGGGTGGGAACAACAGGGCATGGACCTTTGGGACAGAGAGGCAGCTGCGCAGCTGTGGGAGCTGAGAACGCAAAGCTGCTTGAGGAAGTCACAGGCAGAACTGAGAAGCGTGAGCAAAGCTACATGCTTATTTCTTGGTGGAAAAGATTACTGCAGGAGCATGGGACCACAGCCCTGTGGTCACAGCCCACCCCACCTCCCAGGATCCTGTGGTGGGGGAAGCTATTCCTGCACCTTGGGGTGTGCTAACTTCTGTACTTACCACCACCAAAAGGGATCTACATGTGACTGACCCTCTAGCTGCCGTCTTCCCTCTTCTTCCACTAGTTTTAACCATCAGAACCAGACTGCAACCCCAGTTCAAAGTTGGACATGGTGGGGAGGGCAGCGATACAGTGCAGGGCATGGCTGTGTAACAGGGCTCACAGGAGTGCCTGCTGAGCTCCCTCACAGGCTTCACTTCACTTCTGGCTGGTTGCAACACAACCTCAAACCTCTACAGAGATCTACAGGCCAGAGCAGGGTCAGAGCCAGACACAAAGGACTCCAACAAACAGAGCCAGACCCAGCAGAGCAAACAAAGGCCCTCAGGGTAGCACTGCTGCCTCACCACACCTTCTGCCAATCCAAAAAATGATTAGACTCATTTATTTCACAGGCTGTCTCCAGCTCAAACCACCTCATTACGGGGATTTTTGCAATATCTTGCAGACCATTATCTTACTCATCTTCATCATGATTATAACTTGCCAAATGCCATAGGACAAGAGGTCATGCCCTCCACTGGGACTCATAGGCTCATATCCCTATCTCCACCCTAGCTTGGTGCCAGGTAGGGTTTTCTACCTTTCTTTCCACACCTCTCTCTCCAGAACCTCTCTTGCTGGCTGGAGAGCTGTAGCTTATGCTTTGCCAACTGGTAATTTACTTTCCACAGTTAGCACAGTATCTCTGAGCCAGTCTAGAGCCAAGTTTGTTCTGCAGGCCACATGGTCAAATTGATGAAGACATAATCAGAGCTCAAAACAGGCCTCCTGAGAGCATGGACCTTCTGAATGGACAGAGAAAGGAATATATCCATGTGCCTGAGCCCTCCTGGGAGTCAGGAGAGGTGTTTCACTCCAGTACAGCTGTCAAGCAAGACTGGCCAACTCAGTCCAGAGGAGGACATTCAGGGACTACGTTAGTGATTATGTTTACATGCATTCGTTACATTTATATGCATTCACCATGAGAGGGCAAAGAAAGGCTGAGACCGAATATATGAAAGGTGGGAGATTAGAGTCCTCTCCCAGCCTGGCAGCTCCCTACCAGGGTTGACTTCGGTGCCAGACGGCTCAGGCAGTGAGACCAACAGTAGCATGCAGAAGATCATGGTAGCAATCGGAGGCGCTGCGCAGGGTCAGATGGGTGCGAGTCCTTCAAAGACAGCAGCTGCCATCTACATTTCTGAAAGACAAAGCAAAGAGAGAAGATGAGAGTCCTCCAAAGACAGGACTTCTCTGTGCTGCAGACTTGTTATATTGTCATTGCCTCGTGATGAGTTGGGCAATCTTCCATGCCTTCCAGAGTGTCTTGACCTCAGCCCTACTCTGACCCATCACCTGATCAGAGGCTTAGTGAAGAACTAATGATTGCCTGACTACCTATACCATCTCTAAAGCTATTAATGTAATTCAGCTTTTAGGAGCTCAGCTGCCATGACTACTGTGCAGACATACTCTCTTAACTGCACTTAAACAAGTCCAATGCAAAGTAATCTCTCCCCATCGATTCTTCACTTTCCTTATTATATTAACAAGGACTGAAGCTGCATCTACAATGAACCTGAATAGTCCAACCAGGCTCCCCAGGCAGGACTTACCACCCAAAGCACACCTCTATCTGTACCAGCTATCTACTCCAAGTGGCCAAGTGGGCACTCTGGAGCTTGTCACACAACCGTAAGATAAATGTCTAAAACACAGCGAAAATAATCTCTCCCTACATGTCCACATTGCTGCCAAAAGAGCATGTGCGCTCACACATGCGAGCACACTTAATTTCCTGTTTGGAAACAAGGAAAATAGCAAAGGGCTTAAACGCTGGCAATTTCAGCGGAAAGCCACGATAACACCTAAAGGAACACAAGGTCATATCAGCAAAGTTATGTGAATTCTTTGTGTCCACATTCACTACAAAGAGCCTCAGGAGGCTCAGTTTGCATCCTGGAAGATAGCTTTAGGAAGGCAGGTTAGAGGCTCTATCTCATATTGAAACATCAGGTGAAAAGAAAACAGAAAAAATCAATAAATGAAAAGTTGCCAGGACCAGAGGGTGTTTGCTCAAGAATCCTCAGAGTGGTAGTAAAAAGGCAAAACTGAATGTTAGGATTTGTTAGTAAAGGAAGAGAGGATAAAAAAGGGACCATCACTATGCCAGTGCATACACACGTATAAGAACGACAGAGCATCAGATGCCATTAACTTAGAGATTTGTAACAAAAGGCTGTATTTTTTCCACCCAACAAAATTAAACTGTACAAGTCACAGCCATGAGTTGCCATGGATACCAAAACAATTGGATATATTCACAACAGAAAGCTACACCACGGCTTCTTAAATCCGAAGGTAAAACCTTTGGCTCAGGAAATCCCCCAGCCGCAGATTGCTAGACACCCAGAAGCTAAATCAGGGTTAGAATCACTGAGGCTTGCCCTGTTTTTATTCTCTTTCCTAAGGATTTGCTACTGGCCATTGTCCCTGCTGGATTCCAACAGAAAAGATGGCTCTGAGCCTGAAAAACAACTAAGGGCCTTCTTGGGAAAAGAGCCAAATGCTCATGCAGGAGGGGGAAACTAATGATCGGTGGATGCTGCCTGGCAGTGCTGTGCCCAGCCATGCAACAATGCAAGCGAATGCAAAAAAGATTAAAAATTGCCAGGACCCCTCCAGCTTCAGCCACCTCTTGTGCTCCATGTAAGCACCCTGGCCAAGGCTGGGAGGAGGGTGACCACAAGGTTCCGTGATTTTTGTGGCATCTTGGGTGGCAAGTGTGCAAAAGCAAAGCACTGGAGAGAAAAGGCAGACCATATCTCAGCAGGAGGGTCTGGCAATCAGAAAGAGGTTTTGACCAAGCACTCCCAAGCTATGTGTGCATCCAAGGTCATCTTTCCCCCCTGCTGTGGAGGGGGGTGATCTCTGATGCAAACACACCAATTCCTACCATCCCACAACAGACTGCAAGTACCGTGGAGCAGAGGCTTCTTGTAGCCATACAGAGGGAGATTTTGTAAAGACATTTTTGCAGCAGAGTTTGAAGACAGACCTGGCGGATGTTAATTATGCAGGTGATTTGCTAGGATGCCCCAGTGGCTCCCAAAGCAGGACTTGCAAAGGGAACTGCAGAGAATTCAGCACTAGAGGCAGCTGTCCTCCCACAGGAGGTGACAAAGGAAAGGGTCATGAACATTAAGGCTTTAACTTTAACTACGTTCCTGGAGGAGGTGATGGGAAACACAGCAGAGAACTGTTTGGTGGTATGTGAGGTGCCCTGACCATGGCCTAGGTGTCTGCCCAGATCAGCTGCACTATGTGGGTGTAGCCTGGGCTAGAGAAGATCCTTCCACTGGTCCCCATGCTGGACCAGCCACTGAACAAAGCTGCAAGTTGCTGAGGAGACCCTGGCAGGAGAACAGCAGCTTGGAGATACCTCCCAGGTGACTTCTCAGCTGGAAGTTTAAAAGCTGTCAGCTGTACTGGAGCCCACAGATAGCAGAGGATGAGCACACATATGTTCCATGCCCTCACCACCCCCTTCAGAGCCTAGAAACAGAGCCTGGCAAACAGGCATCTGTAAAGACACAGGCTAGCACCCACCAAAATACCCTGGGATTTCCCTCTGTAACATGGCCAGGGTTAAGGGAAAGGGTGGCCAGAGAGCACTGAAATAGCAGTCGTACTAGGTGATTTGTACTAGGCTAGGTGAGGACCAGAGCCTGTGGAAGCAAAAAAGAAATGAGAGCAACCCCAGACATCACTAAGTGTTCAGATGCCTTGGCTTCCCATTTGATCCAGAAGTCCAGCAAAGAAGGATCAACAGCAGGAAGGCAGATGCCCAGGCATCTACCTGCAGTGGAGCACAGGGACAAAGGAGCGCCCATCCCCTGCCATCAGCACAGAGCCCACAGCCCAGCTGGGATCAGCTACCACCCCAAGTGAAAGGTACTAAGCTTGAAATTTAGCATAAGGATTTTGGCTTTTGACAATAGAGTAGTTGTGCTAAGTTTCTCTCATCCTCTCAAAATGACGTGCAAGCAAGTCACGACAACAGCCGCCAATGTCACAGCAATATAGTAACGTGCTGTGTAACACAAACAGCAACCTTATCTCATTTGACCAGGTACAGACCAAACACCATAATTTAAATGCCTATTTGCTTTATGCAAAGCTCACACCATGTTCTAAATCACACCTACTGTATTGCCACATAGCCAGTCACAACCACTTGAATGCGGCAATCTGAATGTAAAAGATAACAGGAGGGAACAAGGAATAGGGTGGAGGGTGCACAAGGAAAGTCACATAGAAATGCCCAAGCACCATGTCAGCTCCAGCCACTGAGCCAGCAACCAGCACTGGAGGAAAGGTGTGGGTTGGGGTGGCTCAGACAGTTGTCTGTTACACCGTATCCTGCGGGCTGCAGGCAGTACCCTGTGAACTGAGGGCTTCCCAGGTCTTGATGGGTACGTGGAGCTCAGCAGGTCACAAAAATAGCATGGCTTGGGGGAACTGCAAGCCAAAACTGGAAGATGTGGCCATAGAGGCCAGCCTGGCCTCCAGGAGAGAAGAGCCAGCTCTGAAGGTTTCCTTTAGAGCTCGCCTGTCTGCAGCTCTGTGCCTACAAAAGCTGGCTTTGAATCTGGCCCTTGCCTAAAGAGTGTCCAAGATGAGCAGGATGAATCCAACTGGGATGTGCCTATCTCCACTGATGACAAAGGGAACCTAAATGGCTGGCCTGGACTAGCCTCATCATTTCCAGGTGGCCACAGTTTGGTGAGACAAATTCTCACCTTTGTACATGGCAGTGACGAACTATTTCCAGCAGTTCAGCCCTATGCAAGGACCCCAGCAGCTGGGTTCAGGCTGTGCTGGGTTTGCTCTTCCCACCACACTTGGTTCCCAGTCCTGGACCACCGAAGTGGATGTTTGTGAGTCCCGGGAGAGGTGCTGCACACAGGGAGCAAAGTGTCATTTCTCATCTTCTAGTGCTCTACAGCAGCAGTTGTTCTCTTGAGCAAGGACACCAAGAGTGTTTTTCACTCCTGTCTCGTAATTTAGAGGAGCCTCAGCTCCACTCAGGAGCTCATGCTGCCGGAAACCGCTGTTTGAAGAACTACTGATGTTGATTTCTGCTGAGTCTAAATCTCAGCTAGTAGTTGATTGGATTCCCAAACTGCACACTTCCAAGTGCTAGAACACACTGGAATATACTACTAAAGACAAGCCTCTGTACAAACTGCTTGGAAATCATCTTCCTAATGATTTTTTTTCTGGGTAGACAACTCGATACTTTTCTTTGTAGCTCTTTCAGCTGCATTAGAGTCCCTTGCTGTACTCACGCCTTTCTTCCTGTCCTGCCCACACATACACAGAAAGTGCCAAAACTACAGCACAAGCCCAAAACCAGCAAAAACAGGATTAGCAACATCCTCACAGAGGCAAGAAAGTGTTAAACTCTGTTCTCGGGACTGAATGGATCAAGTTGCTAATTGCTAACAGCTGGCTGCAGGAGAATAAAATCCTGTTACAATCATTGTGAGAGTGGAAAAAAAAATCTACTTGCTGAAAAACTCACTAAGAAATGCAAAAGAGGGCAGTTTTTCCCAATATACCCAGCAGATACCAGGTCTAAAAAGCCAATCCATCCCTCTGCAGGGAAACAGCTCGCCGTGACCCAGCACTGTCCCCAGCACAGCGTGGGGCCTGCAAGCAAAAGCGTTGGGCACAGTGGGCACAGGAGGGAGCTATTCTTTAGTGATGTGCATGAAGAAGGTGGGACTTGGAGCTCCTCCAGGTACTGTTCTCCCTCCAGAGATCCATTACGGAGGTCTGGCATGTTTGCAAGCCTCTCTAGATCCCAACTGAAACAGGCATTTGTTTTAACTGGTTCCTTCGCAGATCATTACCTCGGAGTGGGACCTTAGAGTTTGCTGCAGGAATCCCATTACGGATGCCCAGCATTGCGGCAAGGAACTCCACAGTCATGATCAAGACCCATAGCTGGGTGTATGATGCACTCTGTATGTATTACAAGAGGATCCATCCTAAATCAAAGTATCCTCAGAAGAGGTTCAGGAACAGTCAAGACAACTGGACGATATCTCCTAACATTCCTAAAGGAATTCAAGGAGGAAACAGCAAAGCTATTAATTGGGACCATATCTGAAGCCTGAAGAAACAGAGGCTGGA